TCGTCCACAGCGTGCTCGGCGCCGCGCTCGCGCGCACGCCCGACGGGCGGTTCCGCGCCCCGGCCCCCTGGACCCCCGCGCAGATGATCGTCTGGTCTACGGTGAACCGCACCTGCCACGCCGTGCGTTCCCTTCCTCCTCCTCCCCCGCGCGCCGCAGTGACCGCGCACACAGATCATGGCGGACGTCCGCGACTTTACCGAGGACGTCGCGCAGAACGTGCCGACGGTGCCCGTGCTGCTCGGCTCGACGCGCCGCACGCGGGTGCTGCTCACGGGCGTGCACGCGGCGACCGCGCTCGCGTTCGCGCTCCCGGCCTCGCGCAACCCGTACATCGTGTTTGGCGCGGCGTACGCGGGCGCGCTTGTGTGGATGCTGGACGAACATAGCCCGAGGGCGCGCTTCCGCTGGAGCTTCCACTCGCAGACCGTCGTAGGCGTCGTGTGGGCCGCGGCGCAGGCCGCGCGCAGGTGGCTCGGGGCGTGGGAGAAGGGGATGGCGTAGTAGGCGCCGCGGGTGCGGGACCTGCTCGTACCAGTTGCTGGCGTGGTGTGCGCGCTGTCTGGGATTCGCTGAATGTCTACAAGCGTGTAAAAAAGCGCACGCGAAATATACGAATTTTCTTGGTTTGAATAGCGGTATTATTCGCTGGACTCGTCGTCGAGCTTCAACTCTGGGCGTTGGTTGACTGCCTGGGAGACTGCCGCAAATTCTGGAGGCGGGATGAGATTTGGTGTAGATACTCCCGCTCAGTCGCAGCGTCGGCTGAGCGCCTAGCGCCGGACGACGTGCTGACTAAGCGCTTTGCGTACTCCGCGCTCTTTTTTTCCCGCTCCGCGTCGCTGTCGACGCCTCTCCGCTTTTTCTGCCCTTCCATCGCCTGCTGCTGCTGCTGCTTTCTGCACTCATCCACTGCGTCCTGTCCGCGCACACACGCGACGCTGCAGAGGACTCCTATGATCCCTCTCATCTCGGACGCTTTCTGGTCAAAGTCAATTTCCGGAAAAACCTGATCCAATTGACTTCAAGCTGGCCACATACGCGACTGTCATTGGAGTATACATACGCCCGCTGGTGCGTGCACGGGTGGCATACATCGTGTCTCCGTCGTGTATGCTGGCGCTTATGCTCGCGATCCCTGATCCTGGTCCCGGCCCCGGTTCTAGCGGCCCCCCCCCCTCGCGTAGTGGACAGAGCCAGATTGGCAGAACGCGCCCGGCCCTTTCTCGACGCGCCGCCCCGCTGTGGAGTCCTTTGGGAGTTCATGTCCAGTATGCTACCGCACCGTTCCCTTTTCGAGCTTCGGCCAGAGCTTATTCACACCCCTGGTTTGTGCTCTTCGCGCTGCATATTGCCTCCGCTGCTGCTTCTTTCATGGCGACCCGAGCCTGATCCACGGACCCGCTCCAGGCGCATAGATCCTGTCGTGCGCCAAGTAGGTGCTACGTGCACACTAGTGGCATACGTCGCCTTTGGGCTCCCCGATACTAACCCTGGTCGACTGGTCCTTCTGGACCCTGCCCTTCTCCCGGGTGCGCTTTCGCCCCTAGTTCTCTAGTCGAACATGTCTGTTCCTGTCTATTCACTTCCGATACGCACCCGCTCATCTCGCAGTGCGTTCCCTCCTATCATGCTCAAGCTATCTTTTCCGGGTGTACATCAGGGTTCTTTCCTATCACTCCTGTTTTGGCCGTTGGACCCGCTCCCGGTGTGTATTCTTCCCGTGATGGCTAGCACCTGGAGTTTGTGCGATTTTTCTCGAAGATGGATGAACACGCATCACCAACGCCCCTAGTCCCTTTGGAACTTGCTTGTGTCCCCGAGGCGCGACCTCATCTTCTAGTGCACCGACCATCGGCGTGCTATCATGGCTCGCACCTTATGTCTCTAAGAAAACTGCGCGCCTTCCCCGGAGGCTATAGCGACGCACACCCGCTCTCACGCGCCTGCGCTACCTGACGTCATTCCTGACGAGCACTGTAGCGGCGGTCGTCCGTCAAGCTTCAGTGCCGCGTTCCGCGATAGCGAGGCACGCCCCCAACGACTGCCTTCGTACCTTCTCGGCGCCGTCGGGCCTTCTCGTCTTCTCGCCAGTCCGCACCCGCAGAGGCCGTGCACTCTCTGGGTTCTCCCGCGTCAGCGTCTGTGCGCATGTGGCACACCACTGAGCTTTTCTGGATCCACTATGCGGACATGTTGAGTTCTCCGAGTTCGTCAGGCGGACGACGTCCGTCCGCGCGCTGCACCGCGGCGCATCCGAGGAGAATACGACCGTGCACCTTGTTGTGGCTCCTCCAGCTGGCAGAAGCGTATCAGCCGGCGCCAAGAGTGCACCCAGAAGCCCCCCGATTCTCTGCACGCAAGCGAACCCGAGGGCCGACTACGGTCGCCGAGAACGCAGGGCGCGCGGCGCGTCGAACTGCGATTGCGTTTGCCACTGGGAGCGGGCGCGCTCTCACGCGGGGCCACCCCCGATGTGGACCCAGCGCAGACGGGCGGCGGACACAGCGTCCGAGCCCGCGCACGCGTGCTCGAGGACGCGGGTGCTAGTCTGGCTTCGCCCGAAATGCCTGTTTGGCAGTCCCCGCCATCTGTCTGCCGCACACGCTCTGTCATCCTGCGTGAGCCCGACGACCCTTGCATCATTCGCAGCGCCTGCGTTGCTGCCCCCGCTGTTCCCAAGGCCGATGTGTTCGGGCCCGACGGCGAGGCGTCATGCATGCCATGATAGAGTCGACTCCATGTGCATTCGTCGTTTGTTCGACGTGCTGTGTTTAGCGGGTTTGGATTAGCTCAAGCTCTACTTTGTCCGGAGGCCTCGCTGACGGACGCCCCACGGGCTTCTGTGCCCTCTCCCGCCCTACCGCTGATGTTTTACCCGAGCCGCCGTCGCGGTGTGCGCACGGCGCAGTGTCTTCAGGAGGTTCGCGCGCGCGACCAGCGTGTCAAATCTCTGTGACTTCTAGCACGCAAGCTGGCGCGCCGGCGCGCGGAGCCTATCGATTCAAAATCGTCACGCGGGCGCCGTGCCCATTTATACGTTGTGCCAAATAAGGTTTCAATCAACACCAGGTGTGAATATGATTGCTTCAGTACAGTACACACGCTCGCTCCCCGAGCGGGCACTCGAGTGCCGAACGCACCAGGAAGCCGCAACCCAAATTGACAAGGGCAGCCATACAATCCAGGGTAGCGAGGAAAGAGGGAGACGGAGAGAATGATAGATGCAAACGATGTGATCACGGCGCCGCACCCACGGGGGCGAAGACGAGGGGGCCAGAGTCGCCTGGTTTTGCGCCAGGAGGGAAGGAGACGCGGTAGCGCTTCAGGATGAGGCTCACGAACAGCTTCAGCTCGTGCACCGCGAAGAAGCGTCCGGGGCACGCGTGTCTGGGGAGTGCAGTCAGGAAAGCGCGCGAGACACTGCCCAGTGCGCGGGCACTCACCGGCCGAGCCCGAAGACGATCATATCCGGCCCGATGCGCGAGGCGACCTTGTCCGTGCCGACGAACCGCCAGGCGTTGAACTCGCGCGGGTTCGGGCCCTGCAGCTCGGGGGCGTAGTACAGGTCCTCTGCGTTGATGTTCACGACCGTCCCTGCGACGCCGGTCAGCGCCCAGCCGCCTCGCGCGCGCACGCAGTGTCGCGGCAGCCCGCACGCACCTTTCGGGAGGACGTACCCGCCTGGGAGCTCCCACCCGTCCATGCCGACGATCTTGTGCGGCAGCGCGATGCTGCGGTTGCTCGTGCGCAGGCACTCGCGGATGAAGCTGTCGAGCTTCACGAGGCGCTGCAGCTGGTCGAGCCCGACGCTCCCGTCCGCCCAGTCGCGCCCGAGCACGTCCTCCTGCTCCTCGAGGAGCGCCTCGATGAATTGAGGGTACTTTGCGAGGTTGTAGAGGCACACGATCGCGCGCTTGGTCGTCGTGTGGATCGAGAAGAAGATCAGCACGAGCATAATCGTGCCGAGCTCCATCTCGTCGACCGGCTCGTCGGGGGGCACGGTGTTCAGATAGGCTTGGAGGGAGTCCACCTGGTGTGCGGGGTTCAGTGCAACGTCAGCCGAGGGGGACGCAGATGTCTCACCGGACGCTCGTATTCCTCCCCCAGCTCTGCCATCTGGCGACGGCGCTCGTGCACGATGGGCATGGCGTCTGCGAAACAGTTCAGGCGCAGACAATGGTGCAAGTCTGGGGCAATACACACGTTTTAGCAGCGTTTCTCGGTATGCCGCTGTGGGGGAGTAGAAGTTGAACTTCACCCTGCAAAGCGCTCAGCCGCCTGGCGAGATCGTGCGTGCGCAAAGTCCGGCTTACCAGATCCAAAACTTGGCCACGCGCGGGAGCAGGGCGAGCATGGGGCTCTTTCGCGCGACAAAGTGGCCGATCGACGACGCAAAGTCCTGGTACACCGGTATCAGCTCGGCGTTCGTGCCCAGCTCCTGCGGATCGGCGGTTCAGCGACACTCGATGCGCCGACGTGCGGCCGAGAAGCAGACGCGCACCTCGCCAAAGAAACACACTGTCGTCGCGCGCGCGAGCACGTCCATGACGAGCGCGGGCGGGTTGTCCACCCGGCGCGGCGCGGCGAGGTCCGCCCCGACGCCGACGTCAAAGCCTCGCGTGAGCACGCCTGAGAGGATGGGCACGAATCGCGCGACGTGCGGAGTCAGGATCGCCGCGAGCAGCCGGTGAGGTTCGAGCCGCGTCTGTGCCGTCCCGATCATCTCTGCGAGATTGTACTCATCCTTCACCGCTTCCTGCGCAGGCGACGTCAGCCTGTGCGGGGTTTCGTGCGACAGCCGTGGAACGGGGACGCACCTCGAAGTTGAACGCCGGGTTGAGGAAGATGTCGCGGACGTGTTCTTTTCCGACGACCGCCTGGACGTGTCCGCGGATGTACACACGAAAGACAGAGCCGTACTTCTCGTACGCCGCACATGTGAATCCCGCCTGGTCCTTCAGGAAGTCAAACGTTGATCCGAGGATGGGCCACTGCGCGATGGACAGGGGGGGGATGAGCATCTGCGCCCCTGGGGCAACACGAGGAGGACGTGCCTTGTACTTGACCAGCGGCGGGAGCTTCGCCCTGCTGCCGCGGTGGTCGTTCAATCCCAGAGCGAGTACGATGAGGGAGATGGTGCTGAGTAGCAGCACCGAGAGGGTCTCTCGCGAGAGGAGGTCTGCGGAGGACAAGTTCAAGAATTCGACGATAGTCATCGTGAGGAGATGCAAGACGGACGATGGGCCAGCGTCGAGGTGGTGCTATTTGGCTGCCGTAGCCTGGGGCGCTGCGAAATGGCGAGATGGCAAGACAGCAGGCGAATCGGGCTTTGTGCTCTGCTCCGAGTGCCACGCTCCTCCCCCAAACTCAGCTCTGTTTCCGCGCTGGCGCTGCTCAACTGTTGGATATGACACGGAGGATCCCCTCACTTCCACCGGCGCCAATCTGCAGAGCCTTGCGAGCCCGGTAAATGACGCCGCGAGATGGGCAACGTTGTACCTGCCAGGATCAGGAACTGCCCGTAGCGTCGTACCCCAATTTGCGCGATGCAGTAAGCACGGTGCCACTGTGGGAGATGAGCTTAAGCCTGATTCAGCTTCATGTAGATCGAAGCCCCGAAGCCGGTGTCTGTCTGAGTTTGTCTTGAGCGCGCCGAGCTTAGTAGAGCTAGAGCTAGAGTTTTCTCGTCCGGCCCTGCGGGGCAGGAAGAAGTGAACGTACAGCGCCGCATGGGCGGGGGAGCGAGAACTGAATGCGGGAAGACAGATAGCACTAATTCGGTGTCTGATGCATGCACACGACTGATGCGTTTGAGCTTAACTGCAGGTAAGGCGCGCGGAGACCGTCCTTCAGGATAGATGGTGGCGAGAGGCAAGCGAGCTTTAGGTGGCGCAGCCCATTGCGATTGGCGCCAGATCGAGATATGCTGTTTCCGACTCGGACGCAGTGGGTAAAGTCAATGCAGTCCGCAAGACAAGCTCTGCTGGGAATTGTAGCTGCTCGCGCTGGTGCTGCATGCGGTCACTACACCGCGCGTGACGGGGTCCCTTCGCATATTCGGGACGGGACAACAGTCACCCCTCGAGCGGCACAAACTAGGGACAGGATTGAAGTCAAAATGGCCCAGAGAAATCCTCCGTCCGCCCACCTTCTCGCCCAGAACGTCTCCTCCATTTCATCTCTGTCCTCCTCGCTCGTCGCCACCAGTACCGCCATGGGATCCATTGACGCTATCCGACCGGAGTCCTCCACCGTCGACTACGACGATCTCAGTTCAATCGTCTGCCACTATGCCGAATGGCACAAGGCAGATGAGGAGGTACGCTCGTGATGCGTGTCTGACCTTGAGTTCGGCATGCCGACCCTCGTGCCTGACAGAGGATATTAGAACCGTACACCTACATCACATCGCAGACCGGAAAGGAAATCCGCACACAGATGATCAACGCCTTCAATATTTGGCTCGACGTCCGCGAGGACAAGCTGAAGACCATCAGCCGCATCGTCGGAATGCTGCACAACGCAAGCCTACTGTGGGTTTCGGCTTTCTCTGCGCGGCTCACGCTTGCTCTGACACGATTTCCGCAGCGTCGATGACGTCGAGGACGATTCGCAGCTACGTCGCGGAATTCCCGGTAGGTCTGTCAGATATAACAAATCCCCACAAGCTTATGTGATCGTCTGCTCCACTCACCAGTCGCCCACAAGATCTATGGTATCCCGCAGGTTATCAACACAGCCAACTATGTGTACTTCCAAGCATTCCAAGAGATTTCGAAGCTGCAAGCTTCGTCCCCTAGATTTGATCTCCACGCCATCGTCATTGGTAACCTTCCATATGCTGGACGAAGAATGGCGCTGATTCATGTTTTCTCAGACGAGCTCTTGAACCTCCACCGAGGGCAGGGTCTTGATCTCCTATGGAGAGATACACTCACCTGTCCCTCCGAGAAGGAGTATATCTCTATGGTCAACAACAGTCAGTGCAGTCTGTATATATTTCAAACACACTCACGGTAACATTGCTTCAGAGACTGGCGGACTTTTTCGATTGTCTGTTAGGCTCATGATGGCGAATGCTAGGCAGAACCTTGACATGTGCGTCACAGTGGAACTTGACATACCGAAGCTGACCTCATCACCTCAGCGACTACATACCCCTTGTCAATCTCCTTGGCATATGCTTCCAGATTCGCGATGACTACTGTAACTTACGCTCACGAGAGGTGTGTGGCGCAACTTGTCTTTTAGGCTTCGCTGACTATCACACCACTTCAGTATGCCACGAACAAGGGATACGCAGAAGACCTTACTGAGGGCAAATTCTCTTTCCCTATCGTGCACGGTGTGAACGCCAATCGCAAAGACCATTCGCTGCTGAGTACGGTCACTTCGCTTCTTCACCTCAACCATGACTGATGCGCGCCCATACAGACATTCTACAGAAGCGGCCCTCCACGCCGACGCTCAAGAACCACGCAATTTCTTACCTCGAGAACCGCACCTTATCGTTCGAGTATACCCGCAACGTTCTCTACAAAATTGAAAAGCAGGTTCGCGACGAGCTCGCACGTCTCGGGGGAAACAAGGGTCTGGAGGCGATTGTGAATTTGCTAGCCAAGGCGGATTGAGCGCCCGAACTGGTCGCAATTCCGCAAGCAGAAACAGGCCGAGCGATTTTGGATTCGTGCTATGAGGATGTGTACGCTGGAGGAGTCTTTATTAAGTTATAGAGAATGCGCAGGCTGTAGGATTAGTCTTAGTGTCCAACACTTTATGCAAGAGAAGGCAGTATTCCAATAAGCTTCATTCTCTGCTCCCGGATGGCATGCACTCCAGTGAACTGTTATTTTTCGCACAAAAAGTCTGTCAGACTACTGCGAAATAGGTAGGTGCGAGGAGTATATAGTCTTGTGCCCGCATACCACCACAGTAGCATCCTCCTGTACTGCAAACTGCAGGTAAGCACGAACGCTCGTTACCAGAGCCAGCCGCGCTCGTCGTACTGACCGTGGGTGACAGTCAGACTCGAGAGTGACTCACAGTATCACAAACTGTCCAGTATGTCACGCGCGCTCCTTGCAACTCCGCTGCAGCAGATCAAGCCGCTTCGCGTCCTATTTCACATTCCCTTCCTACTCTTTCCCCAGCTTATCGACACGGCGCCCCCTCCATCGACGGAAGCGCAGCACTGGCATGAGCCCGATATCAGAGCGAGATCGGTCCTGCCGCGGCCTCAGCCGCTACCCATGCCGGTGCTATTCTCTGGACCCGCACGGCCTTCCAGAGACCTCCTCGAGGCGATCAAATCGCAGAGACTGCATCAACGCGGGGCACACAGCAGGATCACCGGAGTCACGCAGCGAGTCCCCACCCTGCCTGATCCACAGGTGTTTGAGGGGCGCTCGAGGCGCCGGCGGATTGTATGGCGCGTCTAAGGCGTGCTAAGAAGGGGACAGGTGCGGCTGATGCGGGAACGAGCTGGATGTCCGGAAGAGTGATTGTGTAGATACGAAAAATCAATGCGTGAAGAGTGAAGATGGACATGTCATATCTGGCAGTGGGAACCTATGATAGCGTACGTCACGTACCTCCGGACAACAGTCTCTTGTGTCGTTGCACAGACCAGCGGGTGCCACCAGAAATACAAATGTCGCTGAGGTGTCGGAAAGTGAGAGAAGATGTCAGTGTAAAACAAGACTGATACGCGAGACGGCGCCCTTCGTGCACGAAACATGTCTGTCCCAGGACAACAAAAGTCACTGCAATGTGAAAGCGGCGAGAGAAAATGACTGCGTGAAATAATATGCGACATCGATGCAATGCGTTTACGTTGCAAGACACAATCGCCTCCGTCTAGGCAGTGGAAGAATGTCGTTCCGGAGCCAGAAAAGACGAATTTGTATTGTGTTGCCCCTGGGATCACACAGCGGAGGAAATGAGGCTCACCGGCTAGATTGGACCGTGGTCTTAGAACAAGAGATACTAGTATTCCTCCAGGAACGGGGGATCAAGCGGATTCGATATAGAAATGCTTTACGGGACCCTAGACTGGGTCACTGAGCAATGTCGGGTAATTATCATCGGGAAACTTGGGTGTTGCTGAAACGCCGACCATCTTCGTCGAACTGATGTGTCAGTAGGGTTCCTGGCTGTTGTGGACGATATCATTCGGTCCAAGCCATGGGAGCAAAAATTCCCAATGTTACACTAGGAAACACGAATGTCATTTTTGAATTGTTCTTCTAATCGGTGATAAGTTGAACGCCTGAACATCGCTACTGAACATGAACCCGGACGAAGGCTCTAAGATGGATATGGCTCAGCATTTCAAACTTGATTTCTGTTTCTCCTGCAAAAATTCCACGATCCTGGCACTCACCGCAATTTTTTCAACCCCGCAAGGTACAGCATTTGGTTCATCGGTGATAAGGTCAGGGTATTCACGCCGATTATGCAGTCTGAGGCGTTCAACTTGAAGCCACCCGACATTTACCTGAGCTGAACGCGTTGGTCACAAACAACACGTCGTGTCACGATCAGTGACGAGGAACACAGTCCCCCGATCACCTATAGTTCCGCGACACTGACTTGAACAAGTCGTAATATTGAGAAGGGCTACTTTCAAGTTTCTGTACAACATAAAAAGGTATTATAGTTATCGTTTTCTCGTAAACATTCTTTATGTCGATATTGTGCAGACTTGGACATACTCATTTTTAGACCTCGACAGTTGGTCGGGATGTTCAGATCTAGACATTGGTGAATGGCAAATGGCGAAATAATACACACTTCGAAAGTTTTCCTACAACCTATGCCTGTTCCTCTTCTAGCACTATTTATTCCGTGATAGACAAATTTGAGAGAACATAAGCTGGAAAAACCAGGATCTTCACAATTCCCTCCAGCTGATGCCTCGAGCGTAACCAAATTGCACCCAAGGAAACCGTAAAGTAACCAACAAAGACATGCCACCAACGGGCAAGGTGATAGTCCTAGATCTTCCGCCACGGAAAGCGACGTCTCGCTTTGCCGCTCGCGACGATCTCCCGAGCACGCGCTTCGAATGCGACATCTCGCTTGCCCTTTCCTGCGAGTTCGGACAACCGAGTACGAGACCCGGACTCGAAGACTAATGGTATCGAGCCCTTTGGAGTGGGCAGTTGGACGCGCGATTGCGACGGATAGTAGTGCTCGCACCATAACTCGATCTGAGAAGCGATTGTCAAACCCTTAGTCATTATACAACGAATGTGATAGATGGCTCACCTTCAGACACTCCACTACTAGATCCACATAGTTTGGATCCTCCGGGACAGCACTCTTGCGGAGCTTGCCCGCGTACTCTCGATATATACCCGTGACATCCTTGGGGTTCATGGACCGCATGAACAACTATATAGAAGACGTTAAACTGTGGCAGATGGGATGTCGCGAGCACTTACTGATGCAATCTCCGCCTTACGTATGTTCGTCTCCTTTTGGAAGACCTCGATGTTCATGTAGCACACGCACATCCTCACGAAGTTAATGGTGTGAGGGAGCGCGAAAAACTTGAATACATTCTCCCCCTGTAAGAGATGCAGATAATCGAGAGTGTCAATGATGCGCCGTAGAGCCTCGACTATCATCCCGCTGAGTGCCCATAATGCCTGGTGCCTGTTACTGGGTTCGCACATCTCTTCCATCTTGCTGAACGCTGGGCGCCCGACTGTCTTGCCGTAGATTTCCCTGCCCCATATCTCTCTGGGCCATAAGAATCGCTGGTCATCGATGTCTTCGCGATAGTCCCGAATTACGTCAATGTACTCGAATAGTACGCACATAGAGTTCGTGAGCGCGTGTTGTTCGGGAAGCCAGGGAGCCTCCTTTCCGGACTGCGCAAGAATGCGGTTCATTCCCTCACCGACAAGCCCAGCAACGTAGTACGAGTACAAATCGAAGTCGGCAATTGTCTCGATGTAAACTTGGCCAGTCACGGCGGCGCGCTGGGAATTGTCTGCCATGCCGGTACCCATCTTGTGCGCGATGTCGACGATAATCTCGCGATACCTATAGCGTTATAAATATGAATCCAAAGGAAGCGCTGTGCAAGTGTCACTCACGGTGCATCGAGACGAAGAAGCTCTTCATTCACGACGTCAAACTCGACGAGCATACAACGCAACTTTTCATTTGGGTTGCATTCGGTGAACTTCCAACCAGGGACTAATATGAGCTCGTGGAACGATCTAAGGAGATACTGTTTTTTCTCCTCGGGTATGGTCATATCATCTTCGATGATGTCCAATGCGCGAAGAACAACCCAATAAATGCACATCTGGCAATAGTCGGTCAACTTGTGCAATGGCAATCACGCAATACTACTCACAATTCTCGCTATGTCGCCTTCCAATTGTTTGATGACGCCCCCTATTGTCTTGCTCTTCATATCCAAAAACTCCCAGCATCTGCGCATTGTTTTGCGATCCCATCCTGTATGCGCATGCTCGCTGGGAGCAGTGATATCGCGCTTTGGTGAATAAAAGAGTCTGAATCGAAGCAGAGTGAAGAACTCGAGTGGATGGGTAACTAGCAGAGACATCAAGGCCGAGGTACTCATGATTGTGTTAGTACAAAGCGGAGTAGCTTCAAGGAGCCGTCCAGGACACAAACTGATACGGGCTCTCGCACAATCATATATGCTGTAGGTTCTGTCTCGCCCCGGACATGAGTCTTCGAAAACTAAACCGTGGTAAGCTCGACTCGCCATGGCCGTCTTAATAGAATTACCCGAGAGCATCACCCTCCCGGACCTTCTCCGACACGCTTCCACAAAGCCATCAGAACCAAATCGTTGCGGACACGCTCAATCCGACGCATTCTACGCTGAACCTGGCCCGTGACGACGTCAGAAGAGTAGCCGCGTCACTTGTTCTCCACTGGCCGGCCGCCCAGAATTTCTGAGCAAGAGCGGATTGTCTATAACGCCTGTCCGACGTGAGAATGTCTTCAGATTAGAATGTATGTCTCGGAACGTTTTCAGGTTGTCTCGGGAACCAGTCTATTTGAACGCGCTCCTCGCGAGAACACAGCCTTGTCCTAGACGCTATGATATCACTAGAACCCATCTTGCATGGTCGACGTCCAGTTGTACAATAATATGAGTGACGTCAGGCGAAGAGAGGTGAGGCAGCAACAGAGAAAGTTTGTTTGAACTCAAGCCTGGTGACCCTCTCTCGTCCTGTTTGGAAAAACTGAGGAGGCTAAGTGGCAGGAAGTAGAAGAGAGGCATGGCTGAAGAGTCCGACTTAATATTGGCCCGAATTTAGATCAAATCTAAGCTGATAGAGGCCCCTTGGGTTCGTGAAGCAGTTACCAGGGTTGGTCATGCCGTAGAGTCTGAGCTTATAGTCTCAAACAATCCTTTAAGCTCAAGCTCTAAAAGCACTAAGCCGTAGTCGCGGCTCAGATGAGGACGCGATTCTCGAACCTGCCACGACCGGAGCTTACAGGCGCTTACTATGTTGAACGCTTGTGACGAACTCGGGCAGAGTAGTGTTGTCCGGCCTTTGAGACATCTTCCTCCTCATCCGATGAAGATATTACATTCTCGGGGCTTTGTGTCAACGAATTGAAGGTCAAAACATATTCAACGCCACTTGGGGCCTCCGGGCATTGTTTAAAGCCAATCAAGGGGAGATGGTCAGTGATTGAGAATGAGCATTCCATCAGGAACATGTGGTTCACGCAGACCATCATGGTTTCGTTATCAGCTGCAGGGCTGTAAAATGGCACCGAGTAAGCAGTTGGAGCTAACCTACGCGAAGTTTTCGTAATAGGATACAACGTTTTCAAGCTCTCCAATGCGAACAAGACCAATCTCGTTACAATATTATGACATGCCAGACCAGCATTTTCCCTTGCCTTCTGGTACCAAAGATGGTATGATCGAAGTCGTTTATCTTTGCCTCAACCAGCACACGCGACGTAGCAAATTCATCACCTTCAGCTTCGCCGAAGACCTTTCTCCACATTACAGGCCATGAGCGCTCCGAATGACCATAACGAATGCTGAATAAATTGGAAATTTGTCCCTCAGAATCAATGGCTCATTGGGGTAACGAAGCGCTCACCGGCCTAAATGGTCGTCAATCATGCCTTCCTGCTCGAGGCCTCTGTGTCTTCCAAATATCACCGCCCCACTCCTTCGTTTTAGCAAAGAAGCAAGACGAAGTGCAATTGCATATTGGGTTGATTCGTCGAATAGGTGAAACAATGCGCCTACGTAAATATGGGTCAGCGAGCCTGTTAGCTGCGCTAGCTCTGTAATCCGCGCGCCAGGCGTGATGGCGCTCGGATCCCGACCAAATTCGAATTCTACAGGACAGTTGAAGATGTCTGATGTAAAGAAGTGTATCGGGCAGGTTTCCCCATCGGAATATAGCTTGAAGCCTAGGTCAATGAAATCCTGTCGCAGATCACAGCCAAGAATATGCGAGGCGGGGTACCCATCTTGGACAAGTTTGCGGACATCGGTACCCACTAGTCCGGCGTCAGGTAAGACCGCACTAGAAGACGAGGCTGAATTTGACTTACTGCAGCATCCCAAGTCAAGAAGAAGCGTCTCGCCCAATTTACTGGCATTAAGCACCGTTTGATAAATCGGGTTGGCTGTCATCATCAAGCTAACATGATGGAACGCGCGGATGCACGGATATGGATACTTTGTACTGTGAAAGGTCAACCTCATCAATACGATGAGTGCATGATTAAGATAGTGTGCACACTATGCTCTAGTAAAGTATAATTCAGGCATTCGGACTCATCGACAAGAAAATAGTCCGCACTCTTTCTGTACTTCTATCACTCGCCTTCGTATCTCCTCGTAATCAGTTGAAATAGCTTTCCGAAGAAAGACTAGTTCTGCGTCCGTTGGGGTGAACAGGGCCAGATCTAATGGAGGTATAAGTGCGGGATCAATCGCAGCTTCTGCCCTGATGTCTGCCATAGCGAGATGTATGGTTCTTGGGCGTATCTAACAATGGTAAGCGACCGCGGCTGGTTCAAGATGATACACTCACGGTGAATTTGGATTGTCCTGAAACCGTACCATAAATTTCAAACGAACGAATTACTACGGTTCGAGCGATTACATACCAAGTACAATCACCGCTCAGATCAACGTCTGCGGAGGATCCAGAAACAAAGCTCTCGTCATGTCGCCGTCTGATAAGCATATGTGCAGCATTCAGCGTTAATTCAAACGGAGCTCCGTCCGTGAAACAAGATTACAAGGCGCTGAACTGCGCAAGCCAGCATTGGATATCGGGATGGCAGGCCACAGCAAGAAGCCTTACTTACTTTCACGAGTAGTCATACGTGAGTATATGACTACAGCTTGAAACCATTCAAACGGATTATTATAACCAGCACCTAGGTAAGTAATAGGTAAGTAAGGGTCTCGTTCAACCGTCAAGCTCAGCACAAATCAATTGATTGTGACAAGGTTCGAGCTCCGACACGTGTCGCGTCGCGTAACGTTTCATTATATAGTGCTTAATATCAGCCAATAGCAAGTGGATAGAGAACTCAGATGGGCCTGTGACATGCGTGTATGGAGGAGAAACACATTATATCAGATACAGTGTTTCGGTGGTCCTTGGGACACCAGTTTGCATATTCGTTTTGTGCGCCCCACACTTCGAAATTGCACCAAATTCATCTACAGGAGTTTTGTGAAGTGCCTTCAAGTCTTTTATGAATTTTATAGGAATAAAACCTGCAATGAACCCTCCGACAGAATTCAATTTGTTACCTGTACTCGTTTTCGGAAGTTTTGGGTTCCTTGGGACACCGTGACACAGTGTGACGTGCGATCGAGCGCGGTCGCTACTCTGAGTCACCGCCACCCCCATCGCATGTGATGTGTGCGTCCTCACGCACGATGTCACGCTCTCATTTTATTCTCCTAGATCGCGCAATTCTACACCAAATGTCATGGTTCATTGGGTGAAGTTGAGTGCAAATAGGCTAACTATGTAGTGTCCATAAATTCAGAATTAAATCTCTCACAGAGTCTGTGAAATTCCTCAAAGTAGGTGGAATTGAGTATATATCATGTTCTCGAAACCTGAATTGAAGGCCGTTCAGCCCCAAAAATTTTTGAGCATGTAGTTTGTTAGAGTACAAATAAAATATCAGGTGGTCGATTATATTAATTACCTTGGTCAAGAGGAAGAATGAGTGTCTCAAGGAACACCGGTATCCCAAAGACCACCGAAACACTGTAGCTCGTTCAGCTCAAGGTGAAGAAACCCAGTGGTCACGGACGCCACCCAAACAAATCTAGCCATACCTAATCCAATGTTATGTCCTAGCTGTCAAAATTTAGGAAGTACAAAATATCGTGTCTTAGCCTTTTTGGATTGCTGCACGACAAGCACGATGCGAAGATGTCCAACCCTCCAGACAAAAAATAACTGGAACCAAAAGACTCGATGGTCCTAGCTGGTCCAGTGAAGACCATGTCTCTTCATGCTTTAAACCACTCACGCAGAGGACCCAGTCACTCTACGTTTGAGCAGTATAGGCACGTCTTTGACGCCAAGAGTGAAGAAGAACTGGGCCTCCAACACCCTTGCGCGCCACCCATTGATCGTCTCACCCGGATTGAGCAGAGGTTCAACCTTCCAGTCGCGCAGCCACATGGTGAGGAATGCCACAGCCTCTGTTTGGGAGAATCTTCGCCCAATGCAATTGCGCTGGCCTGTAAACGTATTGTTCGTCAACCACTGAAGACTAGGAGATAGACTAGATCGATACTCACCGAAGCTGAATCCGGTCACGAGGTCCGCCTTGTCTTCGCCCTCCCAACGAGACGGCATGAATTTCGTCGGCTCGGGGTAATAACGCGGGTTGTTCTCTGACAAAAGATGAGTTCAGGATCGCTACTGAGATGCATAGTATCACTGACCCATGCCTAAGGTATCGATTATCATCTAATAAATCAATCAATCACTGCAAGACTTCAATGGAGGCGAACATACCCCTGTACCCTGTGGCACTACGATTGTAGTTTCCCCCCCTCCTGGGGAGTTGGGAATGACAAGGCTAGTGTCTTCCGCAGCTTCACGGACCATCAAGAACGAAGCTGGGAACATGCGCCCTGCTTCATAGAATGCATTCAATACCTTGTTCAGCTTGTGATATTCGTCGGCTGTCTGTATAGCGGAAGAGATGCATTCTATTGACTAATCTATTTTGAATGAGATCCTTGTTGGAACGCACCGGATCTCTATCCGGACCGACCACGTCAATAATTTGTCGGTGAATGTCATCTTGCACATCCTGGTGCACCGCCAGAAGAGCGAACGTCGCTGCCAAAGTATGGGCGGTAGTCTGTTATGATCATTATGATCCATATCAACATGACAAATATGTATGAATAACTTCATTCCTTACCTCATGTCCTGCGAAGAGCAAGAGGAAGACGTTTGAGATCTAGGGATTCGGCGTCAGGACAGACGAAGGTTGTCAAGATAAAATTACTCACTAATTCATTATCAGTAAGCATCATCTTCCAGTCCTGAGCTGACCGCGCATTGAGTTCATTTGCACGGACCAATAAGCTGAATATGTCACGACCACTCTCTTCGTTCATGGTTATCTGTGTTTTGACCAGCTCGCGACGTTCGTCCACTTGATCTCTCATATAGCTGTCCAACAAGTGACGCGCTGTCGATATTTCGCGCAACCTGATAAAACGTGCCAAGAATGAATATTGTGCGTGAAATAAAGCATAGCCCACTTACGCTTTGATTGGCCATTTCGATGCAAACGCTGGGAAGAATCTGAAGACAGAAGGCATAGTGAAGATTCGTAGAGCTTCAGAGATAGACATATCTCCTCTATGCGTGTTCGTTTCGTCGGACCACGAAGCTTTCATTCCAAAGCCACAGACAGCAATGATAAGGAAAGCCAGCTATCATACGAAATGTATTAGATGCAAATAAAGATAGCCATGACAGCTGGCAGACCAACCTTGGATGTAAAGTTTTGAACAATAGGAATTTGAACAATCATCCGATCCAGCCAACCCTCGTGCTTGACTATATCGTGGTAAATTCCTACAGTTTGCTCCCAGACAAGGGAATACCTGATAATAGATTGATCAGTACGACGTCAGGTACGCAAATAAAAGCTTACATGTCATTGTTGAATGCTGGACCGATGATCTTCCGATGCCTCAGCCAAACGTCTCGTTCAGCAGTGAACAAATTTGTGCCCCATTCACTGTATTTCTGTATTTAGCATGAACATCTCACAGGACCAAGGAATGCATACTCGAGAAGTGGACTTGGAGGTTTGATCCATGCAGCTTGAGCACCACCTCCAACAACCTGACGCGCGACGTCAACATTTGCTGTATAAAATTGAGGTTTACCGGCAATGAACGGAACCATTGAGATCGTGTCGGTGCCGAATTGTTCATAAACTAGTCATGAGGTTGTAAGCAAAAGAGGTTGTAAACCGTGAGTGCCAGTACATACAGTCAAAAGACCGCTTCATCCAGAGCCATGTCAGGCCAGAATTCAAAGGATTAAGGATCCCCAGTCTGGACGTTGGCGCCACTGCACATCTGACACCAGGCCAGTGATTTACAACCTAGAGATATCACATTAGCACCTGAGAGCAGCACCCCTAACCTCACTGCACATGCGAGTCCTCCTCGATCCCATTGTCCACGACACTCACTTGCAAGCCATTAACGAACTTCACACCCATCGACACAGCGCAAATCACCGCCCCTGCAACCGCTATCCCCGCCCAATTCGAAGTCCAATCGACCATGATGCGATTGCTCGACAATGTATGGATATTCCTGGTGATTCAATAGGGCCGACTGGTTCTGGGTTGGCGCACCGGAGCTTCCCGTCTACTCGCAGTAATAGCTTACGGTATACATAGGGGTTGCGAAACACCTGGGAACTATGGGTCCGTGGGTGAAAGAACCCGGAAATTTAGTCAGCATAGCCGCCAGAAGACGACATATATATGGAAGATAAAGCATTTGAAAATGGCCGTAACCTTGCTATGCAGGACGTCAGTGAGCCATAACCACAGGTAGGTTGAACTTGAACTTTGCTTAAGTGTAGCTTATGGAGAAGGCGTTAATTGGGGAGCTCCGGGTCGGATGAAGCTTGAACCGAGACGCCCGACTCGTGTAGCTTGCAACTTGCCAGTGCGGCCTGGGTCTGTACGGATATATAAGTACTTGCTCAGGTTGCATCGAACAGGTGCTAATCGTAAAGTTCAATCAAGCCTATTCAAGATTGCCTACCAGATCAGTGAACGAATAAACAGGCTCATATTGCTAGCGCCGCTGCAGCCAGTGTCACTCAAGGTAAGCAATTTCGACGGCCTGATTGAACACTTGTGTATTGAAAGTAGTCCAACTTGGCGGCTGTGCGCATCCTGACAGGCTTGTTTCAGTGGTAGTGGTCGGGCCCCTTGCACACGCCAACTAGACTATCAGCAATCATTACAATAATGCAAACTTCGAAGTTCACACTGATAGATGATATTGGCGCTAACGTTCATTAATTGGCGTATGCCAAGTTCCCTGGCAGCTGGCGGACAAACATCAAACTGGACTGAACTCACTGTAGCATTATTACGATATCATTTGGCTAGCTTGCGATTGTTGACGAGCTCTGTTGGATGCAGTTGCCCATTTACCCTGGCTTATAAAATTATCACAAAGGATATCTCCTGCATTCTATGGGTATTCAACATGATAGAAATATCGGTGAACCAGTCAGACAGCTCATCGCATGCGATGAGTTGTCCCGCTGCTTTCCCGTCCCTTTCTGTATCAAGCTGGTTCCGTGTCATGAAAACGTTACCAAAGTGCTGGGCTTTTATATTTTTGCAATCAATACATCGAATACAATATGGAAGTGAGGAATGAGAATAAATACAGAAGACTTGTGTTAGTATTTTTATCATCATTATAGTAGACATACCCAAAGGAAATAGGACTACTGTAGAGCTTATCTACAGGGAAGGATATAGACAGTCCTGTGCGTGATGAGAAGAAACATATAGCTACGAATATGTTGAGATCATACAGCAAAATAAATCTCCAAGTCAAGGGAAGACGAGGTGAAGGAATGCAAACGTCCCACCAGAATGTAGTCCGCACAGTGTGGAATCGGCCATACTCATCTTACGCAGGTGCGTCTTCTTTATATTGCCCGTTCCCGTTATCAAGTGAGCCCATCTTGCCATGCTCGACAGGGAGGGTGGTATTCCATACGTTCGCGCGGCCAAGAAGGAAGCCCGGGTGGAAGACATTGACGGTGAACATGGCGAGAACGATCATCCCGCCATCCAGCCAGTCTTTCGTGAAGCACATGAGAATTAGGAAAAGAAAAGTACAATGCATAGTGTGAAGACATACCGAAAAAATGCTGAGTACTGTTGATGTAACCTCGCCATCCCTCCGCCAGTTCCTGCAGAACGAATGATTATTAAAATTGAACCTATAATATCAATAGTGAAGGTACACAGACTATCGTTCGGTAAACGGACCTGAAAGGGTAGTCGAAAGTAAGTCGAAGTTTAGATAGATGGTAGCTGAAGTAGACGTACCGGATATAGACGCAGATGCTGCTTAGTGCGAGTCCGAACAGCATAAGTTTGATATTCCTGTCGAACTTGTACGCCGGGGAAGGCTTGTTGGTGCTGCGCAGAGGTTTCTCGTAAAGGAAACGAAGGATGAACTCCATCGCAAGCACCAAGTATACCGTGATGGAAGCTGGGCAGACGTGTGAGTGGCGAGAGATGTGTGTGGAGGCACAATTAATGCACGCACCTAATTGAAAAATGATTCCGGCCAGCATGGTATGAGCACCCTACACGGCGCGAATGGTGAGTGAAGCACTAATAGAGAGGGATATAAGCGCTTACAGGCTCAGGGCTCTTGCCTTGGTTGATAGCTAGAGAGGCGGCAGCACCACCAACTGCTTGTACGACAAGGGCGATAACATCCTATCGAAATGATAAAATGTTCAACACTCCGACCAAAATCTAGAATACGAAAGATGCCCTTACGCATGAAACAAACACGATCATGTCTATCGTGGAAGGAATAAGCGATGTATCGAAGGTCGTATATGACCATACGCACATGATTTTGCGCTGAGCCGACTGTAGCAGTGTCCAAGACGACGGATAAGCTCTCCAAGAACGATGAAGTTAGCTGCAACGAGTGGCGTAGGGGCAATGATCGTCGTGACAATCCTGGAGAATACACGATTAGCTTTACATGTCATCGACGTCAAATTGTACGGACTGCATAAGGTACGGTTCCTTAGCGAGCGGGTTCTGGCTGGACCATAATCTTCCGCCCCAGCCAATAATCTCGAGGATACCTGCGACACATGCCGTTGGGAAGAGCCACCATAGTCGAGTATATACTGCTTGAGATGCATGTATCACTGATGGAAAGCTTCATCGGAATTTTTTTTCTTGCAGAGAATTGGACTGGGAACATACGTGTGGAGAAAGAGAAGAGTGCGACAAAGAGGGCGCAAATCCATTCCGTGGGCACATATCCGTAGGGGTTGAGCCTAAAGCTGTTAATTGCTTATGGTCCTGTGTTATAATTCCGCTCTATCCAGCAAACGATTTAGCATGCGACATACCCGCCATATCCCAGAATATTCTGGTATTCTTGAAAAAGTGCGATATGCAAGAGGACGACAAGATATCACTTGAGACACAAGGCGTAGCTTGTTGGATACGTACGGAGATGGCCTAACCGTCACCCGCTAGCGTTCCTGAAATAATGTGCCAAATTCAAGCTCAGACACCTGGTAGAAGGAGATTACCATAAATATATTCCCTATATACGAGGTCAGGCCCCAAGTTGGGTGCACCCAGAACAAGGGTTCGGGTATCCTGTCATCAACATTGCGCCGCAACTTCGCCGCAACCTTATTCGACACTTGGAGCGGAGTGATCAATGTCTGCGCACACACGAAGAAGGATCCAGGCGCCGCATCTGTCTGAAGATGATCTAGTCCTCCGCATCGTGTCAATCTAATAGGGCAGGCGAGGGAACAGTTTCACTTTGAACGCTGAAGCGGCGCCCACATGCAGAGTGTGTTATCCTTAGCTCCTCAAGAGACGCTGTTTGCATATGCTCAACGGCGCCGAACCCAACCAGCCCTTCTCGGGTCGTCACTGCGAAGGCACACTTGTATTCGGCGCTGGCTTGAGCATGCCAATGCATGAGCCTTTCACCTCCATGACTGGACCAAGGCGAGGAGATAGCTCCCGGCATGTGACAGGATCAACGGCGATAGGTATGAGAGAATCACTAGCGTTCTGCACAACCATTAGATCAAATCAACGGCTAGTGAAGGGTTGTCACACAAGCTCTGCCTCCGAAATATCAGACTCTTGAAAGTAAAATTATTGCGGCGGGAAGATACATACTAGTAAACAATATAGTAACAGCAATTGCCCACACGCCTATAACCCATGGTCAACATGAATGATAAGCACCATACTTACCGTGAAGAGTAGACAACTGTAGGAACTTCGTCGATTTTGAGTTTCGAACCGTGGGCATGAATAGGATTCGTCTTCACGTGATATTGCTCGATCGAAATTCAAATTTCAAGCTCCTCCGGGCTGAATAAGCAGTGAAGTATTTCACTGCTTGCTGCCATATGCAGCGTTCGCAAGACAGTGTCAATGAAGAAGTCTTTTTCCGCGTCGTATCAGTATATCTATGAATCTGTCCCAGTACATTCGGCCTCCAATGCTGAATTGCCGTAACTGGGAGACCTCAGGGCAAGGAGGTTAGCTCTTTGAGCTCGAAGACAAATCTCCCTTCGACTTCTGTATCTCGCTGTTCAAAAGAGACATATGGAACGGTAACTACTGCTCGCTGGAAGTTCTCCTCAGACTCCTTTTTCCTGTCGCCGTCTATAACTCCACCCTTCATCCAATCTAATTCAAGTCTTCATAGCTTTCCAACACCTCGGATCGAAAGTCGAGGTAAAGGCAGAGGACTTATTTACAAGCCAAGACAGTGAGTGTGTGCCACATATTTACCATATACAATAATAGAATGGGTAACTAGGCGAAGGTGCGCAGTCTTCGCCCATTTATGCCGTTACGAGAGCTGGGGGACGCCCCAACATGGCGTCGTCCGGCAATCGATTGAGCTTCCCGCAGAACTGTGGTGGAAAATTGATTGATATTTCAGCGAACAACTTCGGGGTCCGCGATTATAGCAGAACCTGGTCGCGAGAACTCGCGAGGGTGTGTTGGGTGTGGATATCTCGGTTCCGCGTTTCAGCCAGAAAGAGGCTCGATACCCTGTAGAGACAAGAAGCGGGTTTACTGTCTGATACAAGACTGAACGCGCGCCCGAAGTGATGTATGCACCTCGCGGATTGCAAAATGAACGCCTTTGGATCGCTTACCATATGCATGACAGGGAAACTTCTCCCCTTGGAGATGCTCATCTTCTGCAACTGCTCTTGGGTCCCTGGGAAGTTGCACCGGCAAATCTTCCTGCACGTCAGCGCTGCATTTGGGTCGGTCGCTACCTTCTGTCTATCCCCGGTCAAATTATCTTTCTCAATTGTCTTTGGGTGACTTGTCTGTGCCCTTCTGCACCACTACTCCCTTAAACCCGTCAATGTGAAGTTCGAGAAGCACAGTGATTCCTTGGGCGCAGTCTGGGTGTCCAGCTCTCTTTGACTCGACGTCGTCGATTTGTGTGGCAGCGGTAAGGTCATCGAGTTCCTCCTGGCGGCTAAGGTCAACGTCTCCGTCCGCCATGTCGTGGTCCGTGGATACGATCCTCGAGAGGCGTGTGTAGGTATCTCGAGGCCAAGTCGGGTAGTGAATAACCCTGCATCTTGCAGCCGCATCGCCGAAGCGTTATTAACTCCGCCGTTTCTTATTTCCAAATGCATCAGCAGGGAGGCTCACGGTAGCTGATGGTATGAAGTAGTACAGAACCGTTTATACCAACGCATACCATCGCGTGCATGTCAAACCACCGTGCACGAGTTCGGCCTATTTCCAAAATGGTGGAAAGGCCTGGCATGTGCTGCATCGAACTCAATTTGATGTGAGCAAATGGCATGTCGCTGCAGGTCATCGAGCAGGCGTGGACCATCCGCAGTGATTGCGCTCGTAATATGGTTGGTTCCAAAGGGAAAACTGCAAAAGCTCAGCCGATTTGGGTTTTCTATAATTGTTCTCACCTGCTTGATATATTCTAGATAATGTGTGCAAGTTTAGGGAGTAAAACTAGAGGCTGCACCGGGCACAGCTAGATCAGTTGGAGGTGGGACGGTCCGAGTTGGAGCGCCAAATAGCCGCACAGCGCCGAATCCATCAGACGCGCGTCACACCGACTTCTCGAGCGTCATGTGATGTACTTACACCGTGTCTTTGCCAATCTATCCTTCTCCTCTCCTGTCTCCAGCGGGCTGTCACTGGAGCCTGCGGCTTTCACTTCGAATCCAATCCACGTCCAATTCTCCTTCAAATTCCATTTTATTATTCCACCCACACCACCCACAACATGGACATCCAGACTACTAGTTATTTTGCTTGCTCAGTTTTACTATGAGTCCTTATGTGAACTCCGAAGTCAATACACAAAAACGCAAGGCATACGCGACGACTGAAGTTCGACGACTTTGTACAGAGATATCTAGGACGCTTTTAGGTCTGATACATATCTTCCTCGTATCTTTGCGTACTGCTTACTATTCATTCTACCTAACTCTAGGAGCAAGTCATGTTTGACATCTCAAGCTAAACCTTCAAGTTTCCAGCTCCATCGAAAGCTAGCCGTTGTACGCCCGAACTCTTATTCGACGTAGCATGTGAGCGACGTCGCTCCTTAGTGTATAAGCCTAAGATCAGCGCACAGCTCATATAATATCGTAAAGGTGAGTACATTGCGCCTTACACTAGATGAACTGGCGCAAGCGTTCACGTAGGATTTTCAGCGTTTTCCGATACCGATGTACATGCTTTGAACAGACGCCGCAGATTCATTCCGGAGCCCGCTGGCAGGGGACTCTTTCCCGCCTCTCTGCTTCGGCTCTTCTTCCTTGGCGCTCAGTCGGTTTCGATTGTTGCAGTGAGATGGCTATGCCGGACTTAATTTTGGCTGGACCACTCAGAAGCAGATGTGACTGATATCTATGTGTGTTCTCTGCCAGGTGTCGAAAGCTGCGCATGCAGTTAGAAAGGCACTGGCAAGCGTACATGCACATCCTCGGTTAATTCATCCTCATTTGCGGGTCCGCCATGCTGCTGAGAGACTAATGTTATGGGGAACAAACTGTGCTCGGATCTGAGATGACGAAATTGGCATGGATGTCAATGATCTCACTGCGCGCGTGCGTGTATGCGGCTTTTATCATTGCATATGACGTTCGATGCGACAGAGTCTGATGAGAAACCACGACTCACCTAGTACATTGCGTAAAATACACAGCTTTGAGACTGTAAGACAGGATGAGTGGTTTGGATAATCTGGATAGGGCAACGGTATTGGCAGGTTGAACCACCGCACCTGTCTACCTGCTTCGTGGCATCTCTACTGGCGAGTATATTTTTACCAAGCCTACTGTAGGATGGAGTCCTGCTTGGATCCAAAATTGGAGAAGAGACAGGAAAATTTGTTACGAGCGAAGGCAGTGAGTGAATGTTACAGATGCTGCATATGCCTTGATTGAAAGAAATGGATGGGCGGCAGGGCTCAGCTCCGGTCTCCACTTGGACTAGCTAGGGTCTGGAGGTGCCGATATGTGAGTCTTTGTGACCACCGACCGAATCGGCGGGCCAAAGCAGTGTGTGCCGGTCGCATTTTCTTTGATAGGCTGCCTTGAATATGGGTTACATAGCCTGAAGCTCATCGCGTAGTCACGGTAAGACGTCGAATGAAATGTATGGTCGAAGTCAAGTACAATTTAATCCTTTCCGACGTGAGTCCCAGACAACATTGTGAACTAATCATTTCCACTTATCGCCCTTCGATGCTTTACAAACCACGGATTCGAATTAACCAAAGTTAACGTTGTCGACGCTCATGATCAAGTTACCATTACCGTTGGCAGCCTGCGAGCCTAGAGAAAATGTCAGTTTCTTTGTTTTCCCTAGTGAATTGCCGAATTTCGACTTACCTCCGACTTGACCCTCATAGTTGCAGTTCGTGAAGACCCACTGCACTCCCAAGGCTGCGTCCGAGCTAGTAAAACTCGTTGAACTTACTCCGCCAAGCCCACAGATGACTCGCATACTTACCAGTATGAGCTAACACTAGAATCGCCCGAGATATTAGAGCCACCGACTTCCGCGTCTCCAGCAGTGCACATGATAACATCATCCCCGTTGACAGTGCAGGCCGTGGTGCCGAGAGCCTCGAGGTAATTAAAACAAGCGATAACATTGTCAACGCTACCGGTACTGTATCCCTGGCAGACAGGGTCATAGCGCTTTTGGAGCTCGGTGATCCGTGATGCTGCGAATTTGGTAAGCCTAAGATAGCTATGAAGAGAGATATTTGTACTTACTGAGGGCGGGAGGAGGACCTTTGGCGAACAGCTCCTCAGATGTGAGGCCGAGAGACTCCAAGGATGGAAAACTAGGGCCTGGGATCACCTCGACGACTGCAGCGACTGTCGAGGTGAGTGCGCATAGTAGGCCAGCGTACACGAGGACCTTGTTGAACATGTTTCGTCGGATAGATGTGGGGAAACTTGCAGTAGTGGGCTGCTGAAGTTTGGCAGAGGGATGGGCCTCCTTTTATTCGCTCTCAAAGAGCTTCTGGATGTGGAGGTGAGCTTTAGACTCCGACGGCAAGGAAAGCAGAAATTGTCTGAGACACTGAGGTAGCGTCCTTAGAGCCGTAAGAGCTTCCCAGCTGTCAGAACTGTACTCCGAGCGTATTCAGATCCGAACTCTTCCCGCTACGTGAAGCATAGCATCCAGAACTCGATTGTCCTTGACAGCCTTAGTAGACCCTCAACGAATTCAAGAGTATCTCCGACTTTAAATGGGGGTATGTTTTGTGCGCTTCCTTTAAAGCATGGCCAGTGCTTCATCATCTTTTCTCTGCTTTGTAGTTGTGCAGCGTTTTGGTCGTGCTAGTTAGAACGGCACATTAATACATGTCGTGCCTGCTTGCAATGGAAGCTCAAAACCTAAGAAGCAGCACCATCCAGTCATCATCACGAGCTCAAGTTCGCATACACATTGTCTGTTTCCCGTCAACACCGGAGGGGTTACGTTATAGCACCTCGCTGGTAGTTGTCAGTTTAGGTATGCGGGCTGATGATGAGCCGTCAAAAATCTCAGGATGGTGTCCCCCGCCGTCACAGAGAGTTGATGCTGCACTCAGTTTTGGCTAAACAGATTCTAAGTGCTCTCAGGTGCCATCGTTTTCGTGGAGGGGTGATACAAAGGATTTTGTATGCTTTCTTGCACTATGACAAAGACGAGACGCGACTTCGCTCATACAGGACATTGTGCATGCAGCTTTGCCTCCGGCGAGCACGAAAGTCTTATACATGACATGCAACTAGGTTGAAGACGGATGGAAAGGCCCATTCAGTGTGTAAGTGCTCAATATCCCTCATAGTTGATGATATTGCCCCCAGGTCTCCACAGCTTTCAGCACATGTTGTGCGGCATCCTTTCATCACAAAATGATTCCAGTCTACGTGAAGCTTCAAGCAGATATGATGGCCGCTGCGGAATCAGTCGCAGTGTCCTGCATGGAGTTTACTTCTGCTGTCCAAGTGGGGTACGAATTCCGATTGGAACTCATTGTGACAACCATCTTGAGAAAGTTATAGGGATTCGTGGGGCCAGCGCGCAAGAAATGTGAAGACAGTTTTTTTATACTTGCATACACAGCCCCTATGTCTACGCTCGACGAAATATCATGATAACATGACAGCATATCTCCCGAAGCACTAGCATCGCCAAGCATGCTCGAGTCTGTCTTCTGTTTCTTCCTCTTTTTCATTACGGCGGAAGGCGATCAAATTTGCGCCCGCCGGGCTTCCGCAGTACATGAATGGCAGAACGCGAGAGCTCACGAGAGTGAGTTGAGTGACTGGGCCCTCAGTTTTCCCCTGGTCAGATTTACTTCTACGGTGGCGTTTGGGCGACTTGTCTATGTGCCTTGCCACGCTGACATGTGAATATGTGGAGTACAAGGAGCCAGCTGCAGGCCCAGTGCGAGTACCAGGCTCCCCAGCCTTGGTATCCACAACTTCCCTGTCGAGACCGGGTGGTGCATTCCCCCACCATATCGCCATCGATTATGGGTATCGAGAGGCATGCTCGAGGCCTGTGCCTGTCGCCACCCCGTCGCTCTCCTGCTATTTCCTCCACACATTCGGTCCTTATTCGCCGCCTTCCTCGCCTTTGCCAGCGTCGTATCACTTCCGCCCCTCCAGCTTGAGTCCAGCGCACTTGGTTTGAATCCGAGAGCATCCATCGGCACTAGAGCACCCTTGACGCCCACTCACGTCAGTTCATGTATTATGTGACCTATAAGCCTCCTCTTGTTTCTTTCGTTTCCCTTACTCGTGCTAACATCTTCGACTATCCATATGCATTAATTCACACTCCGCCGGGCCTTTGCAGCGTTCCTGTCTATGTATGCTGATGTTGATGTTTTAGACAGCCTGTACCTCCTCTCGGACTCGCGGATGAGGATGAGGATATTAAACGTGCACGCACCGCATTCGTTAGCGCGCCTCTATCCGCGTGTGTGGATTCCGATACCCGTCGAATCAAACGTACAAACACCAGTTGTCTCTGCTTCTAAGTAACCCCCGATCTCACCTAGCAGAGCCATGGATAGCCGTCTCGCTGCGATAATGGAATCCAATTGACTGTAAAGGGAAAACAGCCAGAACAGGCGGGCAAGCGTCGACATGGGTCTCTAAATGGATTAGCCTTGGGTCTCCACCCAAGTCATGCACTGACATTAAACATTTTTGGCGATCAGCACAGTATGAGGGCGCGCACCAAGCTATTCCGCCGGCTATCCTCCCTGCGCGGCGACCACATGCGCATGCGATATGATAGGTACACTAGTCCTTGTGTGCGTGGCTGAGGACGGCATGCAGGGTAAATCTCGGAAGGGAGTCCTCAGAGGTGCAGAGCACGAACGGGCTCCTGCACTGCTGTTTTTCTTTCTTCGGCTCAACCAGCTTGTATGGTAGGCTTCCCTGTGATGGTCCTTGCGCCACTCGTCGAAAAAAAGCAGCGGGACACGAAGGGCGTAGGATATCGTGTACGACTAGATGCCTGATGTACCGCTTTGACGCTCCTTGGCATGCGGAGGATACAGCGTCTTATCTTGTCCTGCAATGTAACCTTAGAACAGATTGGTCTTGAGGCTTGAATTAGCTGAGGAAAAGCTGTATCTACTGTCTTAACGGGGCAAGGAAAGACCATGCGTGAAGAGACTTACAATAGTCCGTCCCCAGCGACGGTCACGATCAAACAAGTAGCTCAGATCCACTCCACAGATCGAGCACCATCGGAGTATCGATACACAGATTGCGAGTATTACCCTTCACATTGGCTGTGACGTGCGTCATTGACCCCCCACACACACACCGAGTCCCTCATCAGTGTGCGTTGCTGGAATGTTGAGTGCATCTGACGCTGGATACCAACTGGCGTAGCAGAGCCCCGATAGTAGCAAAGATGAGAGCACTCGCTCTGGGCGTGTAATGCATAATATCACTTCTCCTGAGACTAGTTTGAGTAAGTATCCAATTTGGAATTAGAGACTGAAAACAAATGGTCTCGGACGCCATGGGCAGAGACGAGGCAGTGATACATGTATAGAATCCGAGTGAGCCCGGCGAGTTGGCAAATGGACGAGTGGCAAGCCTGCCGGACGGGAGAAAGAAGATACGTGGGCAGAGGTCACGCCGTCAGCTTTTTCTTTATTGGTATGTAGCCGTGCATCTACAAGCCCGACTCCGTATCGTCCTCGCGGGCCACTCGTTCTCCTCCGGCCTCTTTGAAGTCTTTTCTTCCCTGCTGCCTCTTCTCCTGTATACCATGAAGCACGGGTAGAATGAGTTATTTAAAGTGAATAGACGAGTAAGGGGAAAATACTATCCAAGATAGTCGGATGTGCCCCATCGGAGCTGGCATTGTTTGATTGATATCGATGTGCTATGGACGGTCTCGGACGAAGGCGTAGTAGAGTGAGCCAATTCCAGCTAGAAGCTCGAACGTAGTTTGAAATAGATAGTAAGACAGCAGATGAGTGCGCTCAGAGGGAAAACAGTCGAACAGCGAAGAGCGCAAGAATTTGAACACACTCAGGGCACAAGCCTGAGTGCAACGAGAGAGCAGCGACTCGGAGCTCAGGCGGGCATGTGGGGCGGGAGACTTTCAGGAAAGGAAGCGGTTGGGTCCGAGTCGGAAGCGCTGGCTGTGTCCATCCGTGCCCCACTCTTTCGCTTGCAACATGAGACACGACACAACTCTACCTGTGATCAGTTAACGACACTCTTTCGCAAAACTTTGGATTCACATCAGACTCCTAGATCCAGCGTCGAAGTCAAGCAGATCGTATAAGACCCCCTCGGTGAAGATGAACTCGAATGCGAGAGAACGGATGGAAGAGACGTCTGATGTGCTAGATGCGCGGGCAAATACCTCGTACGCCCCCTCATCATCGTGTGCTGATATTTGAACGATCCATATTCGTAACTCAGCTGCTGGCAGAGGGGACGTAGTCAACGCTCGGTCGATACTATACGACGCGCGCAAGGGACATGCAGGTAAACCATAAGTCGACATACACTCTATGCTAACGTATGCTAATTGCTTAAGCACGTGTACCGATCACATGGCTCTGCGTTGTACCTACGTAGGCTGCCTTGAATTGTTATTGCATGATATAAAGCGGTCGAGATGTTGTGCCGAGGAACCGCATTTATCCTTCACAACCCTGTCTCAAAATGTACTGTGATGGCCATCAGTTCTTCAAAAATAGCTCGAAAAATGAATTGTATAGTCGAGAGTGAAGTACAGTTTTCTGTAGTGTATCATTTGCATCAAGGAGATAAAATCATGCACGCTAATAAACCCAATTTGTACCCTCTCAGCGCTTCAAAAACCGCTGATTTAACCCCAACTGATGTTGTCAACGCTCATGATCAAGTCGCCGTTTCCATTGGCGGCCTGCGAGCCTAATGGAAACGTCAGTGTCTTCGTTCTCCTTGGTGGATTGCTGAGCTTGGGCTTACCTCCTACCTGACCACCCTGGTTGCAGTTTGTGAAGATCCACTGCACTCCCAAAGCGGCGTCCGAGCTAATGGGAAGTTTTTAGCTCTACTTAACCAGGCCCCAGAGGGCTCGAACACTTACCAGTATGAACTGGCGCTGGGACCGCCGGAAACATTAGAGCCACCAACTTGGGCATCTCCAGCAGTACACATGATATTATTGTCCCCGTTGACAGTGCAAGGTTTGGTTCCGAGGGCCTTGAGATAGTTGAAGCAAGCGATGACATTGTCGACGCTACCTGTGCTGTAAGTCTGGCAGACAGGATCATAGCGCTTTTGGAGTTCGGTGATCCGCGAGGCTGTGAATCCGGTAAGACTTTGATCTCCATGTAGAGAGGTAGCTCGCACTTACTGAGGGCAGGAGGAGGACCCTTGGCAAAGAGCTCCTCAGATGTGAGACCGAGGGACTCCAAAGATGGCATTCCGGAACCTGGGATCACCTCGACGGCTGCCGCGACTGTCGAAGTAAGTGCACAAAGTAAACCGGCGTATGCGAAGACCTTGTTGAACATCTTTCGTTTGGTAGGTGTGAGAGAGGCTTGCACTGGTATGTTGCTGAACTTTAGTAGTGGGATGAGCCCCCTTTTATGTGGTCTCGAGAGGCTGTTCCGTATGTCTAGGTAAGCCTTAGATCCCGCATGGGGAAAAGCGGAAGTGGTCTAAAACGCTAGCCTTATGGTCTTAGAGCAGAACCGTCATATGGCTGCTCAGCCATCCAGCTTTCAGAACCAAGGCGCAAGCATCTTTGAAGTTTAATACATTCCACTCCATGACATGCGAAATCCAGTATTGATTCATCCTGACGACCTTCACGGGCTCTCAACGCGCTCAAAAACACATCCCGCGCTCCAAATTGGAACATGTTATGCCCACCCTTTTTGCTCTTAATGGGTCGGCGCTTCATCGTCTTCGCTCAGCTCAATGTTTGCTCTATCGTGACCATGCGGCGTTGACGTCGATTGGAACGGCACATTGATACACGCTGTACTTGCTTATTATGGGAGCTGCAAGCTTGAAATATGGAAGCCTAAGAGGCAGTATCATCCGGCCGCATCATCCCGAGCTAAATACTGCAAAATGATGACTTCCATGTGACTCAAGGAAGAACTCAAGTTTGCACGCCCGTTGGGTGTTTTCGGGACGGTTGTATCATGACATGCGTAACATGCCGCTGAAAATGTTCAGTTTTATGATGTCGGCTGACCACAGGTGACCAGAAGTCTTAGGGTGGCGTTCTCCGCCACTGAAGAGGTATTAATGCCACCTGTCTTTTGGCCAAATATTTTTCGATGTGCGCTCCTTTATTCAACACGAATCAATTTGATCAATAGCGGTGCCGTCGTTAGTGTGAATTAGTGGGGGCGATACAGATAACTCGTGTCTTCTTTCTTGGGCTGCGACGAAAACGCGGGTTTGCTCATCCATCACATTGTGCATGCGACTTTGCTTCTTTCATTGACAAGAAGATACTATAACTAAATTGAAGACGATTGGAGTGGTTCACGTGTAATTGCCCGATATCCTTCCTTGTGGTCAATAATGAATCACCGTCCGGGCATGTAAACAGGTATTGTATCATATTGACGGCGCGTAATGCGGGTACGAATTCCGATCGGAACTCATCCTATTCAAATATGAAGCAGGCGCTATATGATTCTCAGTTCTCCCTGTTTTATGGAATATTGAATTTGAATATTTATCCGTTCCATTACTCTATTCGGACGTCTTGCATCTGACCTTTCAGGCTGAACGTCGTCTCTGAACATTACTCGCTGCGCCGTCATTGCCAGAGGCACCGATCTGCCTGAAATTGTCTGGGTGTCCTGATTTTATGGAAACAGGGACGGACGTGCTCACGCCACACGACCTCCAGCCACAGGCGGATCACGCGGCATGCCTTGGCCGTCGATGGCCGAGTAGAGACCTGCTGGATCATAGATCGGTTCGCAGTTCACCTGGTGGTTCGCCCTGCGGGAAGGGGTCGATCCCAGTTGATAATGTTTGCCTTTAATGGACTCACCAACTGAGTCGCCATTCTGCCGCTGGGATGTATACGATACATATATTTTAATAACTATATCCACGAAGTGGTAGTGACTGCAATATACTCCTCGCTCATTTCCATCCAGACACCACGGGACCATGGTTTCCATCCATGGCTCAACTTCGCGAGTCAAAAGTCAGCGGCTATCCACGCAGGTATCCTTTTTAGGGTGGTGCACGCGCCAGCTTTCGAATTACAGCTTTTGCAAACATCGCTATGTAATCATTATTATCCTACCGAGTTCCCAATCCAAACTTGGAGAACTCGATGCCACAGCCACACCGGCGTTAACTCTACTCGACAAGCGCCATATAGTGGCGCATTGCTACATCGCGTACGACACAAATAGCGGTAGCGGCCTGGCAGTCTATGTGTCTAGAGCCAGAGGTGTGTTTCCTATCTACTCAGTCATGATATAGTATTGTGTGAAATTAGATATGTGCGCTCGGTGCGGCAGTCTATTCGACAGTCAAGAAATAGTGCTACGAG